GGTCTCTCGGGGAAGAGAGACTGGGGAGAAGGAAACCCCAAAGAAAGGAGAAGGGGAGTGGGATCCTGGAGAGGGCAAGGGTGAGCCTGCTGTCTGGCTCCTGGAGACTGGGCAAGCTAATATACTCAAATTCCTGTCTACTATGAATAAGCAAATAGTATGCATATTTGGTGGCCCAGCATGGGCAGGTCTGGCAGGACCCTCCACAGAGCAGTCTCTGCACCGCAAGGGGTGAAATTAATGCCATTAGCCATGATGGGAGGTGGGGAGGAGGTGTCATGTCCAGACTCAAATATCTCCAGTGAGCTAGGCTACTTGTCTCACTGTAAATTACAAGCGCTTAGCCCTATAGTCACCTCTGAATCTGGGGTGGGGGAAGGGAAGCGGGGTTAATTTGGATACCTACCACAAAAGGCAACGTCATCGTAAATGTCAGTGTCCCTATGATAGAAAAGAACAAGGTACTGTGAGATTTACAGCCTTTGAACAGCTGTTTTGCTTCGCTCATGTGTCTCTGGGAAGCCATGGATAGGCAGAGGCATAGTCACATGGGCATAGTTTAAAAAGCTTTAAATACAGAGCATAGGAACATGGGAATAGCAAGACCAGATCAGACCCAAGGTCCTTCTAGCCCAGTATCCTGTCTCTGGCTGTGGCCAGCCATAGGTGCTGGAACTAGGAGTGCTGGGGGTGCTGCTGCACCCCCTGGCACATAGTAGTAATAACAACCCAAATACATGGTTTCTGCCTTCAGCACCCCCACGATAAAAATTGTTCCAGCACCACTGTGGCCAGCACCCAATGCTTCAGAAGAAGGTGCGAGGAAACGCCACCGCAGTAGACAATTATGAAATAATCATCCCATAGTGGAATTTTCTTCCTAAGCTCCATCCATTCAAGGCTGGTGTATGCCCTGACACAGGGCAGTATACGTTTCCAATGTAACAATGAGTGTTCTCATTATCCATAGTAAAGGTCTGGTCCTTTTGTGAATCCTCCAGGGCTCTTGGTCTCAGTGATATCTAGTGGCAGCTAGTTCCATGGGTTAATTTTGTATCATGTATTTCCTTTTATCATTTCCCAATGTCTTGCATTATAAGAAAGGGCAAATAGGAATGGGTGTCTGACTTTCTCTAAGCCATTTGTTATTTTCTGTTCCTCTCTCATGTCCCTTCTGATTTGTCCCCTGTCTGGATTTAACTGTCACTATATTTTCAATCTTGTTTCACAGGAAAGGTTTCCAGGCCTCGAAATCAGTTTTGTGGCCTGTCTCCGAACCTCCCTAAGTACCATTGTGATCATCTAGTCTGACCTCCTGCACATCACAAGCCACAGAACCTCACCCAGCCTCTCCTGCAATGGGCCCAGAACCTCTGGCTGAGTTACTGACATCCTCAAATCATGATTTAAAGACTTCAAGTTACAGAGAATCCACCATTTACACTAGTTTAAATCAGCAAGTGGCCCGTGCCCCATGCTGCAGAGGAAGGCAAAAAACCACAGGGTCTCTGCCAATTTGACTGGGGGGGGAATTCCCTCCTGACCCCAAATATGGTGATCAGTTAGATCCTCAGCATGTCGGGAAGACCTACCAGCCAGACACATGGAAAGAATTCACTGTAGTAACTCAGAGCCTTCCCCTTTTTATATATACTGGCATTATAGCATTTTCAGCATTATCTTCAGTCACATTCCTTATGCAAGCTAATATTGTGTTAGAACCTAGCAATCTGTAGGATCTAGCAGACCTGTGTACCACCTGTATTGCTATATGGGTCAGAGACCTGGACCCTCTTATAGGCAGACTTGGAACAGCTAGAGGCAGGCCATATGCACTGTCAGTACCAAATCCTGAGCCTCAAGTGGTTTGACTGTGCATAATGTCACAGTCTCGCAAAGACTTGGCCTTCCTTCAACTGCTCATTATATTCAACAGTGGTGTTGCAGGTTCTTCAGCTGTGTGGCCAGGATGGACAGAAATATCCGTGCACCCTGAACTCTCAAACTCTGCATTGACACGCGAAGGGGTGCGCGCTCTGACCCCACCTGGTGCCGGGCCACCCCATAGATTCATGGATTCACAGGATTGAACCACATCTGGGAACTTCACTACAAGATGCCAAGAGCAACGCCACCATCTGGGGTCACTTTGGCTGGCGCGATGGTCCTTGGTGGACTACGTGTGATTGACGATGAATGTGTATGAGTCATTTAATCATCCCCTCCAATATCCACTACGGTGCTTTTGTCAATGGCGAATTCCATCTGCCATTGTGCTACCCATTCACCTACCTTTGTTAGCTCCCTCTAAAGCTCCTCACATTCTTCTCTAGTCTTGAGTAACCTACGTCATGTTGTGTCATCTATAAAGGGCGTTCACCCTCTTTTCAAGACCACTACTAAGGCTATGAAATACCACTGGTCCTATTACAGGGATTTGGGACGTCCCCCTGTTGAACCTTTCCTGTGCTGAAAACTGACCACTGATTCCTCCTCTTTGTTTTTGTCTCAGACAGCTTCTGATCCATGACAATACATCACCTCTCAGACCACAACTACTTCCTTTCCCTTCCCTTCTATTCCCTTTCCTTCTTTTGTAGCCTCATTGGCGAGACTTTGTCAGAGGCTTTTTGAATGTCCAAATAAATTACGTCAAAATTACATCATCTAAAAGTCTCCTTTATCCATTTTTCTCACTCACAGAAGGAATACTCCAGGCTGGACAGTGACAGGCGGGCTAAGCATGCTCACAAAAGTCACAGGAGGAGCTGATAGGCTAAAGATATTGGGCACAAATCCTCAAAAATTTCAGGGAGGGGGTAGGTGCCTAAATACCTTTGAGATCTGGGCCTTGGTGCCTTCCAGGCTCTGCCCATATAACCCTAGGGACTGTAGAACCCCCCAGTCTGCTGCGTGACAGGGAGGGTCCCTTCCAGGTTGCTGAGTGAATGGGCTGATGTGGGCTACTCTATGTGTGTTGCCAATTTTTAAAGGATGCCTTTTTGCCTCTAACTGCCTGTTTTACTCTGTCGTTTAGCCATGGTGGCATTTTTTGGTCCTGTTACTGGTTTTTTGTTGTTTTTTATTTGGGGTATACATTTAGTTTGAGCTTCTATTATGGGGTTTTTAAAACATTTCATGCAGCTTCCCGGCATTTCACTCTCCTGACTGTTCCTTTTAACATCCATTTAACTATTGTCCATTGTCAGCTATTCTGGTTAATCTTTAGAGCTTGAAAAAAAATGTCTAACTAAGAGTAAACAAGAGGGAAAGGTATCTGTACTCACAGCTGCAGCAGCGCCACCCTGGGGACGTAGCCATCTGGAACAGACAGGAGAAGGGACACATTTAATGGAAATATAAATTCTCACCCAGGCAGCGAAGGAATCAGGCAAGCAGACCCCTAGGGCCACAATCCCAGCAGAATGTCCACTCTCAGAGTGGGCAGCCTAGGAGTGCAGGACATGGATGCACAGACGTGGGGCTGTATGGGGCTGGTGTAAGTGCCAGGCCCTAGATCTGGGTGTGCAAGGGAGGAGAGGAACAGCCCTGCAAGCCTGCACCAAAACCAGGACTGGCCTGCAGAAGCTAAGCTGTATCCTCTGTTGAGCAGCCAGTGTGGCCTCTGGCAGTGGCCAAAGGGGGCAGAAAAGTGAGAGACAAATGTTTGATCTAGGAAAGCCCCACTCAGCCTGCCCTGTTGGCTGGACTCTCCCTAGCAAAGTCTGACAGTCTAGGAAGGGACACCCCGTGACCCCGCGCTGAAGGGCAGGGAAGAGTCTGCCTTGGCTGGGGGTAGCCACGGGACCGAGAAGAAGGTCCAGTGTGTGGCAGGGCCCTGACATCTCGTGGCTCCAAGGCCCATTTCATCAGAATGTGCATGAGTGGAAATAGGGCTATTGCGAGTCTTGTGGCCAGGGGCAACGAGAACTCCGATAGGCTGGAGTTTCGGAGACACCCCCAGGATTCAAACCCTCCTGAGCATCCCTTTCCCATCCTCCTCCAACCCACTCATCCCTTTCCCTTTTCCTTTCCCCAGGCTCCATCTCTCCATTCCCAAGATCTCCAGCCCACCAGCAGCCCCCCTCTTAAAGACACGTTGTGCACAGCACGGACGTCGCACTCGGTTGGGCTCCGGCTCTTGGCTGTGCCGGGAATGAGATGAAAGATGCCCTCCCCCTCACTCGGGCAAACACACATCCCACCAGGAAGCCCTGGAGCTCCGACTATGTGCAGGCTGCAGCTGGCCCAGGAGAGATGCCAGACTGTCTGCAGCCAAGGCCTCCAGCTGGTTTTCAGCAAATGCTGGGGCTGTGGGGAAGGAAAGGCAGGACACTGAGCTGAGCTTTTTGGCCCCTAAACTTGGAAATGTTTGAGATCTAGGATAAAACTTGGGTCTGTTCCACCCAGTGGCAGATTTCACAGTCTCGTGACGTAGATTTTCCTTCAGTTCAAAATTCAGGTATGAAGCCAGGTGTTTTACTGCCAGGAGCTGCCGAAAGAGCCATTAATAGCTCATCTCTATATCTGCCTAGCTGGCACGTATACCACATCCACATAACCCACCCCCATTCAGTGTGGTGCTGTCTCCCTCTAGTGGTGGCTGGGTCACCGGGAGAGGTTGATGCACCTCCTACAGCCATGGCTAACAGAGCAGGGGGTGTTAGTTCAGGTGCTAGCAGTGCAGGCTTTTTAGAGCCCTATATCCCGGGTTCGATCCCCGGTACCAGTGACCCGCCCGAGAAGCATGGCATTACACCGGTCACCGGAGCGCCTCAGACTTACACTTCCACTGGTTGTTCCGGCAGAGTATTCTCTCGGGACTCGTTAACTGAATGACGTCCAGAATCTCTCCTCGTTTAAGCGGCAGATTCTTCCCTCCCCCTTTCTTCTCAGCCACGTTGGGATCGACCATCATTCGGGTCAGAGCGCGGATTTCCCCTTCGAACTGTAACGTGAGCAGGAAGGAGACATGCTGGAAATGGCTCCATGGCTCGAGGTGCCTGTCCGAGGGGAGTGCAGGCCAGACAGCTCTGTCATGGCAGTGTCATTCCTCGGGGGGGGGGGTCACTCCCAGGAGGCCGGGTGGTCTAGGAACTGTTTCCCCAGCTGTGGTGACCTAGTTTAACATATAATCACTTTCCCGGTAGGTGGATGGAGTTGGGGGCACAGCGGCCCTGAAGGTACCTCCATGCTTAGGCCAGGCTCCGTTTTACAGGCCCTTGTTTCTCGCAACTGGCGCTAACAGTCATCCCTGACAGCAGCGCGCCCATCACTAGCATGTCACTCCCCGTACGCGTTGCAGGAGCTGCTGACAGCCGCAGGGAGCAATCAGGGACGACACTCATGGACGTTGTGACTGCGGTAGGCCAAGAGCAGCACTGAACAGGGACTGTGGTTGGGATTTGAGTCCCGCACAAGTCCAGCTCACATGGTCAGAGAACCAGAATGGACCAGCAGACTTCGCATCAGTCATCACCTCATCTGAGAATGGGAGGGAATCCACGGAGAGGCTGGGCCCTGCGGTAACTGGTGCTCTAGAGCTACTGGGGAGCAGTGGGGAAAATCCCTTCCTCCTGGAGAATGGGTTGGCGCTAAAAGTGCTGGACTAAGCATCAGGAGACCTGGGCTCTAATCCTCGCTCTACCAGGCTTGTTACAGTATGTGCCTTGTTCCCCATGGGGCAATGGCCCTAGAGCTGCTCAGAATGCTTTTCCTTTGGATTCATCGAAATCTAAACGTTTCACAGGAATGTGGCAATGTTGATGAAATTTCAGTGGGAATGGAGGCAGGTTTCTGAGGGAAGCCGGCCTGGTTTCCTGTCAGCTCTCTCGTCTTCCCAGCCCCCTGACTGGGGGGCAGCTGTGGAGCTGGGACCCTGGAAGCCTCTGCTTGAGCTGGGATTCTTGGGGCTTCTAGGATGGGGTTATCCACTACGGATAACACTGCCCTACCTCATCGGGTAAATTCCTGAACTCGAGGCCTGGTCTCTGTTAAGGGAATTTGCCCTTTTGCAACTGCATCGATGTAGTCCCTGGTCCAAACCTCTAATATAGACATCCTACACTGGCACAAAGTGGGGTGTAATTTGGTAACTTGCTTAATACCTGTCTTTGTGCTGACCTCATGCATCCATACTAGGGGTTGGCACACAGCCCCGCTCGCCCCCTCCTCACATCCCCGCTCACCTCCATCATCCCCTCCCCACAACCCCGCTCGTCCCCGTCAACCTCTCCCCACAACCACGCTCGCCTCCGTCATCCCCTCCCCACATCCCCGCTCGCCCCCGTCGTCCCCTTCCACGTCCCCGCTCACCCGTCATCCCCTCCCACATCTCTGCTCGCCCCTGTTGTCCCCTCCCACGTCCCCTCTCGCCCCCCTCTCTCTTCATCTCCCTTCCCCCAGCCTCCTCCCAGATCGTGGCCCATTTCCCCCATATCCTCCCATTACCGTGCTCTCTCCACAGCCCCATACCCCTGCACACAGCCCTGCTCCCCTCGCACCCTGACACAGCCTCATTCCCCAGCAAATCATGCGGGCAGGGGACTGGACTCGATGACCTCTCGAGGTCCCTTCCAGTCCTAGAATCTATGAATCCTAGAATCTATGAAAACTCCTTCCCCACGCCACGACCCACTATCCCAGTCCACTTTCGCACGTTGACCGTAGGCCACGTCTCAGGAAGCAGACTGTGGATGTGGAAGGGAAGCAGCGTCGCATGGTGCGAGGGCACGTTGAAGAATGTGGCATGGGAGGAGGCTGGGGGCAGAGCGCCTGTGGGGATGAAGAAGCTCTTCAGGGGATGTGGTGGAGGAAAAGCACCCAAATCAGCCATGGCTCTGACAGAGGGAAAGGATGGCCCAGTGCTTTGGGCACTAGCTTGGGAGGCAGGAGGCCTCGCTGCAATTCCTGCTGGCCTACAGAGGTCCTGGGGGCCCTTGGGCAAGTCTCTGTGCTCAGCTCCCCATCGGCAACCTGAGGCTAGCAGCACTGAGCGGGCGGGGAGGTTATGGGGATACACATGTTAAAGACTGGGAGGTGCTCATATAGCATCAGAGACTGTAAGGCCAGGACGGAACTCTAAGATCAGCGCTCACCTCCTGCCTGGCACTGGCCAGGGACCGGCTGTGCTGTAGTGGGGCCGGATCACGCCGGAATGGCGGACCAGCACTTTGGCTGCATGGAGGAGCCGTTTTGTTGTCAGAAGGGCGTCCTCTGCAGAGCACGACCTCGCAAGTACGGGGGGTGTTAGGTCACGCTGGTGGGGGTGTTCTGGCAGATGGTTTCACCACTGGGAACCTGACCCTGAGCCCATCACTTCTGCTTGAGCTAGGGCAGATCTTGTAGTGGGGGACCTAAAACCGTTAAGTCTAAGCTAACAAAAATTTTGGTCTGGGTTTCTATTGAGCGTTGTTTTATAGAGGAGAGCTCTCTCTAGCGTTGTATGAAATCCCTGTCCCAGAGGGCAGCATCCTCACTGTGGCTGCAGGAGGGGAATGAATGACTGACTGCACCTCATGGGGGGATTGCTATGAAAAAGGGCCCATTGCTGCTCACCTTGAATTTCTTCCGAAATTCCTTGTCCACCTGCTCTTCTTTCTTGCACTGTTTGAGATTCTTCCCACGTTTCCCGCTTAGCTCTGAAATCTGGGATTTTCTGCAGAGCCAGGAAAAGTCACAATGATCTTCCGGAATGTTCAGGAGACCAAGCGTTTTCCAGCCCCGCCCCCCAATCCTCCCTTGTCATCCATGGCAATAACACCGCATCCCATTTCCACTGCTGGGGATGCCCGACTACAGCCCAGGGTCTCCATCCGGCCAGGGCTTTGGGGCTGCATTCCAAACCAGCCGAGAAGTTAAACTGTTTGGGCCGGATTCTCCACTTGGTTCTGTGTCAGCTTTACGCGAGTGCAATGGAGCACAGAATCAGTGCCTTTGTGCTGAAGTTCGTCGGCCCAGCCGTGTGTTCAGGTATTTACTCCAGCACAGAGCCAGAGTGAAACATCCGCGGCCTGTTTTGCACTCCCGTGCTCTGGTGTAAATGACTGTGCAAGAGACAGGGCTATAGTGAATCGAGCCCGTCGATGGCCTGGAGAATCATTCCGCACCGATCCCTGTTCTAAGCTAAGATATATTCCATGCAAAGAACCACAGCAAGCCCTGGCTTTAATGCAGGGTGAAGGTAAAGAAACTACAACTGGAAATTCCAAAGGTGAAGGCTCAATTCCTGTCTTTAACTCCGCCCAGGTGGGGGCCTCTTGTTCAAAGCTGAACTGCAAAGTCAAATGTGGGGTTATAACCATCAGGCTTCTTTATGATACAGACTGTTTTCTGATATTAGAGCTACCAGGCTCTCACTTCCATCTGGATAACGAGGACTCGGAGAACCAATGCCCCACCAGAACCCTGAGGCCCAGACTGAGCCAGCAACCCCATGGGCTATGAGCAGGGGGTTGGACTAGATGACTTCCTGAGGTCTCTTCCAACCCTAACCTTCTATGATTCTATGGGGAGAGCGGGTCAGGAATTTTTCATCCAAATAGTGGGAAATGCAGCTTTTTGGTCATTCAAAATTTTCAGGGGGAAAATCTCAATTTTGCTGAATTCTTAATTTTCCATCAGAAAAAGTAAAATAAAGTATTTCATTTCAGGTAGGGCCGAAACATTTGGGTTTGTTGAATTTTAATACAGCCAAATGCACAGTTATACATAGGGTCCTACCAAATTCATGGCCAGCTTACCGAGCAAAAATCATGTTACTTCTATGCAGTTGCCTTTATCAACCAAACCGTGCTTCCCTTCTGCCTGCCCAGATTGGCCAGAGGACTGGGAACGGCACCAACACACACATAGGCATATGGACAGGGACTGAGCCCAGCGCCCCTAGGGACACACAGGGCATTTAGCACAGAGCCCCAGTAAGAGAAGTTTGTGTTGATCCCGTGAGTGGGGAGCTCAGTTTTCTGTCCTGTTTTAGCCCAGCTGGAAATCTCTACCCAGAGCCATGTGTACTCTGCAGTTCCACAGCTGTGCAGTTTAGGCCTGGTCGACACCCAAAAATGAGACCCACCTAGCGACATCGCTCAGGGCTGTGAAAAATTTCAAACCCTGTGAGACATGGGTGCATCAACCTAACCCCAGCTCGAGACGCAGCTAGATCAACAGAAGTGTCTGTCAACCCCACTACTGCTTCGTGGAGAGGAGGGTGAACTGCCCTGACAGGAAAACCCCTTCCGCTGGTGTGGGGAGCGGGGGGTGGAAAACGCTGGGTCTCCTGAAAAAGAGAGAACTTGGGAAATGTGACCTGACCGTGCTGGCTGCCTGAGGCTGTTACGGGGCCTCTCTGCCGGTGCCCAGAGCAGAGGACGCTGTTGGAGCCCTCGCTAGGCAGCTGTGGCTCATGCTATAGCCACAGGCTTATAGCTCTCAGTCCCCCAGGGCTCAGCTAAAACAGTGGCCCTTGCAGAAGCACCGCAAATGCCCTAGGCGATTCCCAGTGTTTAGGCATGTGGGTAGCATTGAATTAATCAATCCATTGATTACCTGGGCTCAGCGGGCGGCGGGGGAAATCTGTCAGGGGTCAGCTTGGCACCTGCACAAACAAACGGGGCATGGAGAAGTCAGTGAGGCTGGTGTGGCAAAGCCGCGTGCTGAGACGAGCTCAAAGGGGTGGCTGGCGGGAATGCTTTGCCGGCATCGGAGGTGGAGGCTGGGTCCCATCCAGCCCTCTGAGCCTGTCCCCCAGGGCTTTACCCTGGCTTCTCTGTGCCAAACGATGGGGCTTCCTGTGTGGAGATGACGCCACAGCTAGACCCATCTCGCTGTCAGGAGGCTTTCTTGATGTGCAGCTTACATTTACCCTGTCCCTCTCCCCCTCGCAAGGGGCATCCTGGACTGGCAGGAGGGTACTGAATGCCCTAGTCAGTTCACTGGGGGGAGGGATAGCTCA